TGCAGTATAGAAAAACGCATTTTATGTAAAGAGAAACAAAGTCTATCCACCTTTCAGATAGACCAGTAGCTGTTATTTGGAAATGATGATGATAATAAATATGACTTTGCTCCCATTTCCAGACTAGCAGAGCTGTCAGACGCACAGCCAGTACGATGGCAGTGCTCTAGCAGTTGAATGTCCACACTGTGGGTTAACAGGCAGATGGGTAGCTGGATCCATCACAGGCTATTCTAATCTGAAATGATTGATCTCAAATGGAGATTTACTGGTTTCATATTTGTGTAATTCCACTAAATTAATGATACGGGGATATAAGGAGACCAGAATCAAATAAAAGGATGCCAACTTCCAAGCAAGAAATTGACTTTCAAATTTCTACAGTTGAGACTTCACCACTAAGACAATATACCCATGCCTCCAAAAGCCACTTATACTATGTGGGGTCAGCTGGATTCAGGTGCAGATAATAAAATTACACACACACAGACACACACGCACACAAACATACATCTTATTTACGTATATTGCTTCAGATATTTTTGGCAGTCTTTTCGTATTCCCATGAAACTCGCTGCAGTTTGGGTTCTAAGTTTTCCAGCTTCAAATACTGCATTTTAATTCTACTTAATGAATTAGATATGCTTTAGAGCTATAATAAACTTTTCTTGTGAAGATATTTCTGAAGCATTTTGTCACATTGCTTACTGCGAACAAATACCGCAATAATATATTTACATAAATAATTTAAAATCCAAGAGCACAGTAGGTAATAAAAATATATTGCCACGATAAGCCATGAAACCAGAGAACAATGTCGCTTTAATTAAAAATTACAAATACACTGCAGTAAACAACTTATTTACACGTAGTTAAAAGTCTAACTATTGAATATCCTGGACTTGTTGAATCCAAAAAAGGGAAAAATACTGAAACCAACCTCTTCACACAGACAAATATTGAGGACTGTAACTGTGTTTAATTAAGATCTACTGTTAATAATGGATTTCAGAGAGTGAGGTGGTTCTTTTAATTTCCCAGGGTAGAAAATGTTATTAAATTTGGCCTTTAACTTCTCATTGACATGTACACTTGAAACTTCTGATTAAAATTTCAGAGGTTGGGAAGAAGCACCCAAAATTAAACTCTTAAATCTGGCACAAAAATAACAATGATCCCTGATTAAGAAATCAAATTTCAGAAACTTCATTACTGTTCTATTAATAAATTGTTGGGTTATAATTAAAATGGGGCCTGCTGGATTTCTTTCATTTTTTAATTCTAAAAAAGTTGGAAACTGTAGAGGGAATTAAATACTTTTAAAAAAAAGAAAAATAGGTTAATGAATCTAAGAAATGGGATCCAACTTGAACAGCTTCCTTTTCTTTCTGGGAGTGATCACAGCTGAACAAATATCTTACCTCCAAAGATATGTGTTCAGGAAAAACCACTGGTTCTGTCTGCTCCTTCCTTTCTACAACATCCATAGTCCAAAGCTCACTATGCTCATTGCAGACTTTTCATAAGAAATCACAGATCTGGGTATAGTTGTGAAAGCCAGTGTTAACCTAGTTTTAAACAGGTACAATTTAGAGTAAGATTAAACTTGATGACTACATTATTTAGCTGCTCAATATCAGCATTTGGTTCTTATTTCCAGGATGATGCTTCTACCTCTACCTTGAGTTTCTTTGAAACGTTAACAGCGGTAGATCAGAGAAGAGCTGACACCATGAAAGTTCACCGCTAATCGTGTGCAGACAAATAGCTAGAGCTCAAGGTATGTGCTTTTGAGTCTCACGAACACTTGGAGTCATATTTTTTTCAGTGTAATACATTTTTGCCAGCTTGTTTGAGCTTTTAAATGAAATTCTCAGCCTGCAAAAACACTTCAAGCTGAAGAATAAGAAAGAAAATTGCTTCGAAAGTACAGCTGTCTTCAGGAATTTTTACAAAGTAAGCTACGTTTTTCAAAAAGATAAGTAATTTGAATCTGATTCAGATATGCAACGTTCAAAGAATAAATTCAGCCTAGATGTGGACAATGGCACAAATGGTTTTTATACACTATTCATGGTTCTTGAAATGCATTTATGATGCTATATCTAGTAGAGTAACTAAATTTCCTGATTACAAATAATCATCAGCCCCTCCTACAAGGTTTATATAGAAAGCTATCTAAAAATATCCCTGCAGTTAGACATATCTCAGTTGTTATAGGTTGAAAATAAAAGAAAGTAACATTTCTAATTCTCTGTTGTTCTTTTGTTTGTATCCGTCTGCACATTTTGAACAGATACATACTTTATTGGGGGTGATGTACATTGATCACACAGCAGACACAATACAAATCTGGCATTCACTGCTGCTTGCGGACACAAAAGTTGCTTGCTTGTGGTCATTGATATTTAGTGTATTATCTTGTTTAAAAGTCTGTATTGTGCCTGCTTGGCCTTTATTTTACCAGTATAATCAGAGTAAGGACTCTGATAATACAATTTATAGCAGCTTAGCCTGAGAACCATGTAGTTTGGTATGCATTCTCTATAAAAGTCCTGGACCTAGGCCGAAACTCTAAATACACGCCTGCCTGTAGGAACTTACGGGAAAACGTTTCGGCCAGACCCAGACTAGTGAGTAGCTTTGGTCTTTATACACGCCATTTTACACTATCCTTAATTGCAGATGCTGTTCTCATAATACTAGTCTTCCTTTTTCACTGCTAGTAGCCTTATGTTTCAATAATACCTGTCAGTGTTAAAAGCATCTTTTGAAAATGCTATTTTATACTTCCCTGTTATTTTAGCAAAAGGAGATACAGGTAGTCAGATTAACCTTTCTTGAATCATTCCACCATTTCTCAGACTTCCATTACCTTTGCATTATTTTCTTCTAACCTACACAGCCACTGCCTTTTACATAGTTTCCATATATGATCATGCTTCATTCCCAACCCAATCTAGCTTATTTCTGCTCTTCTTTTCTGCACATGCAGGGTAAAAAAAGAAGAACCTTGCTTTTGGCTACAAACCTTCCAGGTTTTGGCCATGCAGATATGGTAAAGCTTCTGGGAAAATTCTATTTAGATTATGAGCTAGTTATAGTCAAGATTTGAGAGTTCCTTTGCAGCCAGCTGTGAGATGTGGTGGACTGCAAAAAGTCTTTATGTTACTTAACTGGTTACACACAAACCTTAAAGCTAACTTGCAGTTTTCAGTGACTCATTGGTACGTCCTATAATTTCTGTGTCAATATGGTTAGGAAAAATTCACCAAAATCAGTAGGTCAAGGGGAAAAATTCAGATAATAGTTTCTGGGTTGCTGGTTTTGATAACCAAACCCTTCTATTTTCTTGGCTTTTCTCTTTTAGCATCACAAAATCAACTGTTACATTAATTAATATGACTTTTCTTATCTCCCATGAAAATACACAAAGTTATGGAGAACTTCAATAATTTTGTTTCTTAAACTCAGTCCCAATCCCAAAGGGAATAAATATCTTTTCCCTACACAAGCCAGGTTCTGAATAATGCTGCTGAGGGTCATGTTGCTGTATCTGACAAGCAATAGAAACTCCATAGGTTTTCCAGCCATAGACATAAATTTGTGTGACCACAGTGAACAAAATAGGGAATCTTTGGAGCAAAAACAAAAATTCAGAATAAAAATGCATCCTGTGAATAAATACATTTAGAAAACAAGGGGAATGACCTATGCTAAGAATCATCCTTCAGATAAACTGATATTTCAATGGCAGAACTCAAAGGCATTTTTGATAGAGAAAACCTCAAATATTTGTACTCCATTAGCTAGGTATTTTTGAGGTGATGCAGAGAATTGGAACTTTTAATTATCTGCCTTGCCTTTTTCCTCCTTCCTTGGGGATCAGCACGCTCACCTGCTTAAATTCACCTTCTCACTATTTGAATCCAAGGCTGTCAGTGCGGTCCTTTGCAGTGGCATGCTTACTAACATTTGTTACTGACAAGAGAACGTCTTCAAGATCAGTAGCTTGCTTTTTTTGTAGAACAGTATGTATGTCAAACCTCCCTTAAAAGAGCACAATCACTGCTAAACAAACCTGTGATAGTAGAGAAATCTACGTCTATGGTATAGATTGACAGCGCACATCGTTCAGGCAAAGCTTTGAAGTCATTCTCACAAAGGTGTTTATGCCCTTTTATATACATTGATATCTACGGGAAATTAGACTCACAAGTAAGAACAAAAAATTAAACACAGATGTAGATTTTAGTTGTAGTGCCTAACCTGCAATTCTCAAATGCTGAGAAAAGCTGTCTGGAAAGTCAATTTAGTATTAGAATAGAAAGTGGTTGATCTTTCATTTTTCAACACATCTAAAACCAAAACACCAGATCAGGTGGATCAAAATATAAGATGATGGTACCACTTAATACCTAGGTTTGCTCTTTGCGACATGGCACATGTGTGGGATTATATTATCATAGCGCAGGAATAATAATTTACTTCCATCTCTCTAGGCAAGGCCAAGTCTTAGCTTACTGTAGCTTCAGTCTTTCACTGGGAAATATTTTTTCACCCCTTGAACGTGGATGTATGGTCATTATTTCGCTAAGGGATGTTATAAACAATCATAAACTGACTTAAACTGTATGTAAAACAGATAAATTATTTCTATACACATTTTCAATTTTTACACGTTTTCTCTGGCTCTACATGAAAGAAGAGGAATAAACGAGCAGGTTAAAGGTAATTTTGAAACACTATGCAAAGCTATGTCTATTGCTTGTCGATTGTTCTACTGCAGTAATTTCATAGCCTGGAAAACTACTGCCCACTGTCCAATGCAGTTCTTTGTCTTCATCAGACTGAATCTCTTCATTGCAGAAAAAAGAAAATGGCCACTTCTTATTATGTAGAGCCCAGACTAATTTAATTCTGTACTGGCAGGCAAATTCTCAGGCACAAAAGACACACTCACTTTCTGATGGATGAAAATTAGAGGGTACTGCACTCACCTGATAGTCTGATGTTGCAGAGTGTCTGGATCAGTGGCATTTACTGTTAACACAACACTGCCAATAGGGATGTTTTCTTGTTTTGTCACTGTCATTGGGTTTGGGTGGAAAACTGGGCCTTCATTCACATCCTCAACAGTGATCTGAACTGTCGCCGTGGAACTGGGGCCATAGGCTATGTCTGGAATCAACGGGTCTTCATTTTCTACTTTGATCAGCAGCGTGTGAAACGCTGAAATCTCATAGTCTAAAGGCTGTAAAACATATCATAAAATCAGAGTGCAAGGCGCAAAGACAGTACCTAACACTTTTTCCTTGTACCCCACTGCAAACTTGCAGAAGATAGAATTAGCCAGAAAGGCACAACGGCATTCATTGCGTTTGATACTTGGTCAGAGTTTAGCATTAGGCACAATGGTAGTTATAAAATTCATTTAAGATAATGAACATAATGGAGTTAATGAAAGATGGAGATGTCCCTCTATCCAAGAGCATATACTTTTTTGCCATAGCTCATACAGGTAATTTAATTCTCATATATACATGCTTATTTATGATGTAACGTGCATTTAGCTAACAAATCAGTCATACTTAATAGCTACTTACAATAAGTAACATAAGGCTAATTTCTCAACTCCTACTTGAAAACAAAAGTACCAGCATGGAAATACATGCCATTTGTCTTAAGAACTGAAAATACCTCTTCTGAAGTCAATCAGAGAAAATTCTGGTACAGGCAGAAACCAGGGCTATTTTCTTTTTTTTTTATTAAAGTGTGAGTTATAGGATTATCTTCATACAAAGACAGGCAATAATTTTTTTCATGAGACTTTAGAAATGTGGGACCAAAGACACCTCTCCAGTTCAGTCTGAAGCCACGTCCCTTACTTCCCTGGTATTTGCATCTGTGTTCTCTAACCAAGAACAAAATGGGGCTCTTGAATTCTAATCGTACCCTCAGTGACAAACAAAACTTTGTTGTAAAGTCTCACTATTAATTGTGATGCTTTCTGCAAAACTAGCTGTTATTTAAGCACAATGGCAATGTAGTTAGCAACAGGCAGGTCCTTATGACTAAAGTAGTAAGGTTACTGAGACAGAAGCAGGGTTTATGCATATTATTTGGACAAGAGCTGGTAGCCAACTATATATTTTTGAGTAATTTATCCTTGCTGTGCCGCCTTTTATGCAGTAAATCCAGTGGGTGCACTTTACAGTACTAATATAGTACAACAGAAAATTGTTCTTACTTTGACAACAGAGAGCATTCCCTCGTTAGTCTGGGGATTGGTATGGATTTCAAAACTCTGCCCTGGATTTCCATTAATAATGGTGTAGACAGCTCTCCATGCTCCGGTTGCTGGGTCATCTCGGTCACCAACGGTTAAGTTTACTATTACACCTGTGACTCCCTCCTTTACTGTGGCTTGAAACTAGAAAAAAAATGTAGAGGAAATTGTTACTATTTTCAATTAATGACCACACACACACATGCAATATCCAAGCCAACATTAATTATTTACCACAACAGGAGAAAGATGTAATCCTTGACTGAAACTGAATGTTATAGGCTCTAAATAATACATTCTCACTCATGAAATACAAGGTAGCACATTACAGCTGCTCTCATTTAATAGATGGCAGATAAGCAGCGATGTGATAGGAATCAAGCTCTGGATGGTTCCGATCGCAGGACGACAGTTCATCTCGTGTTACTGGAAAAGTGAATCCTGAAAGAATATGCATGTAGTGTTCCATAGGTGCATATGCTATCAGAAAGGGAACTATACTCATAGCTAAGCAGAAGAGGAAGCTGACTGGTATAGCCCCTTCTTGCCCTCCAATGTACTGTTATTTACAAATAAACCAGTTTTGCATTTCAGACTAGTATTTTCATAAATTACCCCACCCATATTAATTTTTCACTACACTGTCGTCAATACATAAAACATTTTTCACAAAAAGTGTTCCCATACCGTTTTTTGGAGGGGTTGCTCTAAAAGACTTAAAAATAATTGGACCTCATGCTACCACTTTGTCTGCGTAACTAAAAGTCAGTGTTACTTTCTTTTTTCAGTGGAAGAATTTTTTATGACCTTGTGAAGTTTATTGCACTGCTGTACTATTCAGCTAGCCAAGCCCTATGAGAAAATTCTAATTTACTATCCAGACAAACAGTGTATAACATCATTCTTATTTATGTAGGAAAAACATTAAGCAAACCATTGAAAAAGCTTGTAAGGGTCAGACTTAATAATACTCCTCACCTTTCAAGTACTTGAGGCTGACGTGCTAAAAGCACCGTATATAAGAGTGATAAGATAATACCTGCTTTATAGGTGGATAAACCAGAATGATAACATATCTAATCCTGAGAAGTGCTGAACATCAGCAGTACCATTATAGATCATTAGGAAATCTTAGCATTTCTAGGGATTAAGCCTTCAAAAGTCCAAAATTACAAACTTTAATGACACAAATAGGGTTTGCCATACGTGCACTGCTTAAAAGCTACATTGTCGGTGACAATATATCACTCAAGGGCAAAAATCCCTCAAGTGACTTCAAGACCTGAATAGACTAAATGTCTTTTGCTCTGTCTTATAGTCATAACACTACAGAAGATTTTGTGAGAATATTGAATCCAGAAAATGGCATTTTATTAATATATAGATTTCACAATCTGGACAAATAGTAGGTGAAATGGATTTCCTCATAGTAAAATACAGAGGAGACAACTATGTCTTTTCCAGTGTTCAGGTATCTTTTTTTCCATTTCATCCAATAGATTTGACTTATGTTTCCAACCCCTTTTTCAATTTAGCTGTATAATTTGAGTGAATGCATTCAGTTCAAGCTTTCCAGCCTCAAACCTGATTTTATAAAAGGATGACATTAATGATTGGCTATTTCTATCTTCTTTGGTATATTTAACAAAGAATTTAAAGATTCTTTTGATTTTGATAGTTAATATGTAACAGGTTGTGATTGAGCTCTGTTTCAGACAGATCATTAAGCTCATTTGCAGTTTAATTAACTCTAAATGATAATATAACAATATTTTTGCTTGCTTTGAAACCAATCAAAAGAAAAGCTCTATTAAGAATCTTGGAAATAACAGAGGAATAATTACCAAGATCGTATTCCTTCCTGCTCAGCAAAATGCTGTCACTGGAAAGCACACTTGGACATCTCTTACTCCAACTGAGAATAAGCGATTAGCCTGATTGATACTTTTGTATTATTTCATTTGTCTCAGCTTGAGCATGTATGGAATGAGACATCGGAACCATAAGAGCCAGAATTTTTCCAACAAGTCTTCAGTACCAAACAATTCCTATTTAGTTATGTAAAAAGGTGACTAGACTTCAAGGAACCTAATCTTAAAGAATCTAACCCTTAGATTTGACTGGGCATCTGCTCCTAATTCATATTGATCCTTCTGAAAAATCTTTTCCTTAATCCACTAGTCTGATTCAATTAAGTGTTCAATACTCCCTGGATCACCTTGAGAACAGTAAGACCTGTTAGGGTAAAATATGTAAAGATCTGGCTATTTTATTCAGATACATAATTGTGAAGCCAGTGAGATAAATTCATTACGCTTCCCCCACCAGTGCCAGACTATGATAGAAAAGGTTGCCATGATGTGCCAGCTAGTTCAAAAAATATTGCATGTCAGTTTAAGGATATCTAATTCAAGGATATCTCAGCTACGGTTGGCTTTCTTCTGCATTCCTATTTTGTCCTTATTTAGGAAGGGCTCTCAGTAGCTTCGATTGCAGCGAGCTAGTAGTGCAGAAGGGGCACACAGACTTGCTGGGGGCATAAAATTGCAGAGCTTCTGACACCAGCACATCAAGGAAATGACGTCTACGGGCAAAGGCTGTGCCGAGCCAAATAATTCCAAGCATAGCGGTACACTCACTCCTAGCATTTTCTGCATTTTAGAAATGACCATATAAACACGGAGGATATTTGAAGCTGTCTAGAACATTGGACTATAATCTGTTCAAGATGGATGAAAAAGCAGAATGATCAAATCACAGAAGTTGTCACATGGGTCTACTCTAAATTTATAATGTGAAAAGTATAATAAATCACAGATTTGTGATTGCAAAAGACAAACATCTACTGTGAAATAGAGAGGCCCAGAAAAATATAACATATATTATCTAGAAGGTGAACTCTTTTGCCTGTCAAGCCACCTTTATATAAAGAATAGACTTCCTAGTATTTGGAAAAATCTGTTATATTTATACTGGGCCTCTTTCAAAAACAAAAGTAAAGAAGGGAATTTAAAAACTATGAAAAGACAAAAATAGGAATTAGATTTGGAAATAGAGAAAAGATAACCACAGATTAATCATATTTCAAAATGAAAGGTTTGCATTCTCAAAGCACGGTGCTTAACTGGGAGAGTCTGATCCAGTGCTCTAAAATAAAACCCCATAGTGGCTAACATAAATAATTGGATCACAAGTTAATTGATTTTACTCTTTTTAAATATCTGCACATCCCCTAAGCACCACTATAAATTAAGAATAAAATAGATGAGTTCAGTACTTTATTTAAACTGCTATCATCTAGACCCACATTAAAAAGAATAACTTGGAAGACAAATACCCTGGCCCAGAGTCGCATTTGGCTGGAAGGAGCTATGTTCATTTACTACTACTGAGTATTTGAATACGTAAGGTTAACTTGCACTGTGGAGTGATATGCCATATTGTCATTTATTGTGCTTATCATGGATACAGCCTAGAAATTTTAGTAATTCTGTCATATTTAGAGTTTTAGAAACATAGCAAAAAAAAAAGACCTAATGCCCCTTTTTCTGCACCCTAAAGCTTATAAAAAAAATACAGAAAGACAGACAACAGACTGATAGCAACTTAGAAGGAAACAATGAGTGAACAGCAGCCAGCATTCTGTGCTTAATCATCAGGTTTTTTTAGGCAAATGAGATTTTTAATGGGGAACTGAAAGACATCAAGGAAATATAGTGATGGATGTAGATGAAGAGTTCCTCTAAGAGTGTGAGGGTAGCCTGTGAGGAAGCACAAACGGACTTGAAAAATGTAATGAGTGAACACTGTTTGCTGTCATGATGGACTGACGGGAAGTAGATATTGACCACTGGACATTCTTGTGAGAGATCACAAAGACGGTTCCGCTAGGCATGGAGGTCCCTGTGAGTGGATATATTTCTTAAAACAAAGGAGTCAGTAAAGGCACGGCAAGCAGATGAGCAACATTCACAATAGCTGTGTTAGAATACAGCCTATGTAACACCACCCAGGGTAGCTCTGAGCAGAAAAGAGAATCTCAGTTCAGCAGTCAAACTCTAGTCCTCCCTTCCCTGGATCTTGCAAGCCTGCTCCAAACTATGTGCAAAGCTTGAGAAGATAAAATGAAAAATTAGGGTTCCAAGCTGGCAGGAATTTTGCCTTACCAAGTATAGGACATTCAAGATGGCAGGTGACTACTGAGAATAATTAGGCCTGCATCAAAGGCTAGTTAAAGGGAAAAGTCAAATGGGGAAACAAATTGTACCATAGGTTAATTGTAGCAGCTGTTTCCTGGTGGAGCCACGATATAATGTAACACAGCCAAATCCTGCTCCACACTGAGCTCTGTGGCAAACTGGAGGGACACTACAGTGACACCTCTCACTGAACGACAAAATGGCTCTGTACAGTCTCAAGAAAACCCAATCTTATCAGATTTCTGCCATGGGGCAGATGCATGAAAAGATCACTTTATAAAATGTTATCACCTGAGAATCCAGGCAGTAACCCCATCTCAGCCTCAAAGAAAACTGGAAATGGTACCTAACCTGTATGAAAATTGGATTCTTACCTGACAGCCTTATTTAAAGCTTCTGTAGTAAGTAAGATTTTATTTACTGGCTTCTCAGAGTACAGAGGAACAAATGAACTTAACTGCATCAGAATCACCTGAATGTCTACTGTCCAGCAACAGCATAAGCATGCTTATATAAGCATAAGCTTGCTTAATAACCTTAATATCTTTACGAAGCCACTGAAAAACTCTCTCAGAGTGGGGTACCAATATACCCAAATTAAAGAGCTGCCGCAAGCAGCAAACACGATCCAAGATAAACGTGTCTGGGGTTGGTGATCGCTACCCCATGGCTCATTAAGATTCTGCATGCTGTGATTCCCAGTCAAGAACAAACAAATTAAAACTGCACATCAGTTTGCATTTATCAGGGTGATATTCCAGTTGAAGGTATTCTATGCTACTATCACGTGTTTGTTTCCTCATCTGTATATCATAAACGATGAAAAATAATGGGATATATTAATTCACACACCTGTCTCAGAAATTCCCCAGGGAAACTGTATTATTGTATTTGTCCTCTTCCACTGAAGTCCACTGCTTTTGCAACCATATTTTGTCTATCTGT